ATTAGGCTTAAGGCCATCGCTATTACGGTGGAGGCCATCGCTAGTAGTGTTCTCTTTGTTCGCTTTTGAACATGAATCAAGATGGTGCCTGAAGGGCGTGGCCAAAGTCAACCCTACTGAGCCACCCAAGCCTGGTCCGGGCCGGTGCGGGGTCCCAGTGAATGCACATGTGCTACATGTGATACAGTATGTAGTCCAACACCTGGATGCGATGCTCTTGATTCAGGATTTCTTTCAAAAGCAAAACACACAAAAGGACAAGTTTAAATGGTTTGTTTGACGTGCATGTCCCAGGAAACTTTCGCCAAGTCCTGGCCAAAGGCATTCAAAAAAGTGGTGGTCATTCGATGCCTTGAAGTCATTTTCGCCAACGCTAGTTACCCTTTCAATCGATGATTCTTGGAGAGCCTTTTCGATGCACAAGTTATGAAATATATGTTGTATGGCTTTGCAGCCATAATGGAGCTGTGAACAGTTGAAGTTCTGATTCTATGATCAGTACGATGGCCCTTTGAAGCTGAAACGAACTTAATCTGGTGGCGTTTCTGGCTGCTCGTCAGGGTCATTCCCGAGGCAGGCAAACGCGCAAGACGCACCAAGCGCGCCAAACGCGCATGTGGATTGGTCAGGAGGATCCCAAGGGGGACGCATCCCACTTACGTTGCACATGTTGACTGAGTCGTGGGAATCGAAGCCTTTCAAGTGCTAATACACCTGGAGCTGTTGGCAGAACTGCCAAAACGAAAAGATCGATGAAGCCTTTCTTGTAACCGGGTTGCGTGGGCGGATAGCATCTAATAGCATCTAACTGTAACTTCATATCTCTCATGGTTCTTCCATGTTCTTTCACAACTGAACCAAACTGACAAAGATCTTGTGCATGTTGCCCACTCCACTGCTCCAAACAGCTGAACTGGGCCATACGGTGCCATCTCGCTTTTCTCAGGTGATTCCAGCGTCAAATTCTCAGATGGTTGAAAGTCTGAGCCGGTCTAAACGATGCTGTTTTCCAAAGCGCAGCTTTTTCGATTTTGTGAACGGTCCCAGGACTCCGTTGCTCAACCAAAGGAGGTATTGGGCCATTTGTATTGGAAGAGAACATGTCTGAAAAGATGCAGCAAGAATACGAAGATGTTGGAGCCGAACAAGCTAGCCTTTTTCGCTCGGAGGATAGTGGAGTCATCTCCGATTGCCCCCCAAATACCTGCAGCGCCAATGCCGTAACCCCAGTCTCAGCATGTCTCAGCCACTGGCAGCACTTTCTTGTCCAAAGGGAAGGCCTTGAGGTGAGTTACGTTTTCCACACTTTACAAGAACACCACCATCTCATGCAGCATGGGCGGTTTTGGCTCGTGCAAGGCGATACTCCATGGAACGTGTTCCTTGCCTTGGGTCAAGAACCCTCCAAAAAGTTTTATTGATCTACTGCGCTCTACTTGGTGACCAACAATGCCACATGTAGCCTACTGAAGAGAGTTGGTGACCCCTTTGCCACAAGGGTGCCCAAAAAGTGTGCAAAAAAGAACAAGACGCAGCAATAGCTCAGCGCGAAGTGCTGTGCGCCATGGCGCGTAGCTCTTTGAAGCTCACACCGGCCCTTTGGGCTCTTTGGGCCCTTTGGGCCCTTTTGGCTGGGTTTGCCTTCGTGACACCGACCGTGTCTCGATGAGAGTCAAAGCTGGCTTCACATTCTAACTTTCGGTAACACATTGTTAAACTGTTCAATCAAAACGTTCGTACAAAGCATTTGTGTGTTTTTTCATTTGATGGACTTGGTGTAGATTTGGTGTAGACTCTTCATAGATTTCAGAGGGCCTAGGAGGCTGTTCAGGACTTTCTTGTCAGGTGCGGCTGCGTGGCATGCGTGGCACCCCCGAGAGCCTCATATCCAGCGGAGCACTGGTGAAGGAGTCAACCGGAGTCATTAGAAACAATAAGCTTCTTGTTACTACTAGTAAGGCACCTGTTACTACTAGCGATGCACTTGTTACTAGTGAATGTGTTCAGCTCAAAAAATCGAAGATTTGTTGCCTGCAACGTTCAAGAAAACGAAGACGGGGAGGAGCCTGCACCACGACTGGGGCAAGGCTACGCCGCGGTGTCGGTTCTAACGCTGGTATCTTGGACCCTGTGCGCTGTGATGGCCCTGGCACGGCACCCCGCGGCCCCTCGGAAGAACACGATGAAAAGACATCAACCACTGAATGTTGAGCTTAAAGAAAGGAAGCTTGAAGCTAAGCAGCTAATACATGCTAATACAATATGAAATTTTACATTAGTTTGACTTTAGTTGCTTTTGGCTTCTTTGAAAGAATGTTAGACCAAGGTCATCAAGCTGCCATTGAGGCACAATGTGCTGACTGTAGCTCAGGTGGGAGTCAGAGTACGGATTTGATTTCCTGTGGGTCGTAGCGGTCGCAGGAACCGAACAGAGCAACGTATGCAGGACGCTGCTTGAGGTGGAAGGTGTATTGGCAGCACAGTCCTGACTTACCCTGAAGGCACTCACACCGTTGCCTTTGGGCTGTGCAGTGCTTGGGTCTCTGACAAACTCAGCTAGTACAGAAGGGTGGTGGGCAATGAACAGGACTGAGATTCTGTTGCTAGTTTATTACATGTGACGACAACCTAGTAGCGATGGCCTCCAACCTCAAAGCGATGGCCTCCAACCTACTAGCGGTGGCATCCAACCTACTTGCGATAGCCTCCAACCTCAAGGAAACTTGTGAGCCATTTGTGTGGAGCACTTGACAACATGTGGTTCATCTCAGTTCAGGATGACCTATCGCCGATTGAACTTGGCGATTTTCATGCTGTCTCTGTGGCTTGCAGCCGCCACAGCATTTGCTCCAAGTTTCGCAAGAGGCCGGATGCATCGGGATGCCTAGATTTTGTTGAGAAGCTTAAATATGCTCCAAAGTTTGTTCTGAAAACGCACAGGCCTGTTGGGAGCGTGTGAATTTCATCCTTTATGATGCTTTTATGATATAAGTTCTGTGGTTAGGCGAAATGCACAAAACAATCACAAAGCTTTGAGATGTAGTCCAGAGCTCAGGGTAGTTGCCAACAGCGCTGCCTGTCGCCTGGTGGAAACTGAGGTGTACTGGGTGATGAGATGACTTGCCACGGAGTGCATGGGGTGGGGTGGGGATGTGGTGGGGTGGAGGCTAATAATGTCCATGTGGGCTGGCACACGCTTGGGACGCTACGTTGATGATGCCACGTGGATGATGCCACGGAGATAAGTTGCCACGGAGTGCATGGGGTGGGGTGGGGATGGGGTGGGGTGGGGGCTAATAACGTCCATGTGGGCTGGCACACGCTTGGGACGCTACGTTGAGAAAAAAGTAGTTTCTGACATTGCACTTTTCGGCCCCTTTTCGTCGTGCACGCACTTCTATTGGGATACATCACGCAACCACCAATAATACCCAGGCGACCAACAGCGTAGTTCCCGAGTAGTTCTAAAAACATGTTTACCCAGATTCATCCATCTACATGAATTTGTCCATCATTTGAACACTTGTATCGGCAATTTTCTGCATGGCAAGTTCTTAGTTCTTGACTTTTTGCATCGCATGCTTGCATCTGCAATGTAATGTGCATCTGAAGCCATTGTGGGTTTGGTGTATATGACTTCCCTCTTGAACAATAAGGCCCTAAACCTATTTAAACCTCAAGCATGCCAGCATGTTCCAAAGCAAGTTCATTATAGTTCATCCTCCAAAGGAGTCCCGTACCTTCCCAAAGCTCTCCACACAATGTGTTCTGCTTCGTGTAGTTTTCCTCCTCAAGACCACAAGCATGTGTTCCCCCTGATACAAACAAGTTGTTTGCGTTGTTTGATTCATGTCTCTTATGACGATGCGCTTTTCCTAGTGCTTTTCCTTCATATACACCCATCATCATGGAAAGATGCATTTTCCTACATCAGCTCTATTTTCTACAAATGCCTGGTTGTTCACCAAAGATCCTCCAATTTGTTTTTGTCCAAATTCAATTTTGATGGGTCTCCTACGACTTCGGTTCCTTTGTAGAGGATTTGAAAGGCTTCTTGCCCTTCATACACACGTAAGTACTTTAAACTTCATAAGGCTACACTGTCTTGTGCCCGCTCCTCTTGGATGTGTAGAGACCAAAATATAGCCTCTTTCCTTATCACGTGCCTAGTCTTCCATCACACAAGTCTACCGAAATTGTCAATCCAATATCAATCAAGTTGAAGGTCTCACTACACAAAAAGACTTCCTTAAGATTGATCATGATAAATAGTGTAAAACACACGTGCTCACAACATTATCTTCTCTTGGAAAATGGTTCTAAGTTGAACATTGGAAGCATTCACCAGGCTATCAGCTATATCCCAAGGGCTTTGCAGTGGGCATCACGCTTTGCCATTCAATTTGTGCGGCCTATTGCCTTACAGTGTGGCTCAAAAGCGTGATGCCTTCGCCACAGCCTATTGCAGGACACTACCTGCCACGCATCTCGGGCACGCACAGCATTGTGAACGCTGTTTTGCTTTACAGCGCTCAGACATTCGAAATTGTCCGTAGTTCAATCTAATGGCCAAATCATGCTTCGGAAGTTCTCTTCAAGCTTTTTGGTTAACGTGGTGGTACACTAGGCCTTGTTCGTGGCATTGTCGGGTCCTTCTGGGCCTTGTCCCTTGACTGCATTGGTTCTGACCTTCTGATCTTGTAGCTTTAGTGGTTGACATCAGCATTTGAAGGTCTGTTTAGGTGTTTTGACACATCATGCTGATTTTTTGTCTCAAACAGAAAACACAATCACTTAGAGAAATGCGTATTGATTTGGTTGCGGTTTGCCACACGCCAGCCTAAGTGAAAAATCCAAGAATCCAGGTAAGTGAAAATTGTAATGCCAAAACAAAACCTCCAAAGCTTCCAAAGGCAAGGTCAAGTTCAGATCCCAAGCTCGCGAAAGATCCAAAGTGAAGCGTCGCTGCACTAGCCCTGTACTGATGGAAACAACGTAGTAGACAGCTTGTGCTTTACGTAGGTTTTTTTCCACGAGGTACGTACGTCAATCCGGCGTCCCGGATTGATTTCACCTGCACACATCCAGTGTCTTCGTCGGTGCAAGACTGGATGGGCTGCTTGCACCCCCTGCAATAGTAACAACCTTTAAAGCAATCCAAAAGGATCCCTATGATTCCAATGCACACACACACGCCTCCCCGAGGGGAGGCGAGAAACTCTAAGGTCTAGGCGATTGTGTACGTGTGTGCGCAGTAAGACAAACGAATGAAGACATGAAAAGAGGACAAGACGGGACAAGGTGTGTGTGGTTGCAATGAAAGGGAACCAAGTGCACAGGGACAACCGATGAAAGCCCACCTCATTGTAAAGACCTGGGCGACCAAAAACCTGTGTTGAAGTAGGTTGTGCACGAACATACTAGGGGCCCGGCCATGTGTACGCAAAAGGAGAAAAGAGATGAGATGAAAAGACATGAAGACAGGAAGACATGAAAGAAAAGAGGAAAACAGATGTATGTCAAGGGGAAAAGGATGAACAGGGAACCAAATGGGGGGACGAGAGCCGATGAAGCCAAGCCTCATTAGAAACACCTGGGCAGACCTCGTTTACATGTGAACGCTACGTGGGCACCTAAGAGTGGGACAGGCTCCAACGAGCCTTGAAAAAGCTTCGGCCGCTGCGGCCACGTACGCCGTACCAAAATGGCTGGCTGCTCTAACCGCTAGGGTCACCTAAAGGCATGCCAACATGGCGGCCAGCTTGGAGTTCAAACATTCATCAAGTCTTGGCAAAGAACTTTGGCTTAAGCCTCCTGCTGTCCGCTTCGGACACCTACGTTCCCAGCCAGGGGGAACAGCGACAAACCCCCGTTCAATGGTTTTAGAGGGGCTATTCTGCGGGGTCACCCTGGCCCTCACGAGGAGAGACACGCTTATAGAAATGCGTGCTGATTTGGTTGCGGTTTGCCACACGCCAGCCTAAGTGAAAAACCTAACAATCCAGGTACGTGAACATTGTAATATATTGTAATGCCAAAGCAAATCCTCCAAAGCTTCCAAAGGCAAGGTCAAGTTCAGATCCCAAGCTCACGAAAGACCCAAAGTGAAGCGTCGCTGCACTAGCCCTGTACTGATGGAAGCAACGTAGTAGACAGCTTGTGCTTTACGTAGGCTTCTTTCCACGAGGTACGTCAATCCGGCGTCCCGGATTGATTTCGCCTGCACACATCCAGTGTCTTCGTCGGTGCAAGACTGGATGGGCTGCTTGCACCCCCTGCAATACCAACAGCCTTTAAAGCAATCCAAAAGGATCCCTATGATTCCAATGCACACACATTATATGCTAATAGTATATATATATATATTTCACACTCGTTCATTTTAGCTTTAACGAGAGGTTCCCAGCAACTTCAGAGACCTTGAGCATCAGCTCCTCTGGCAGTGCCTCTCACCTGGATGACCCGGAATCCACCGCCGGCTCGGACGGGAGGAATGAGCCGCTCGGAAGACGAACAAACTGTCATACCTTTTCCCTACTAGCGATGACCTCCAATCTACCAGCGATGGCCTCCAGTTGTGCACTGTGTTTCTTTCTTTTCGACGATGGGAGTCGATCGAAGAGAAACTCAGAAGACTTTGGATAAGACGACGACCGATTCTCTCAATGGCTAGGCGACTTTTTTTCACGACTTTCTTATCCGTTTTGATTCGGAGGTATTCCATGGCTACCGTGCTCTTCCTCTGCTTTGCAGCGCCAAGTCCTGCAATTGGAAATGCTCGAAGTACAATCCTAAAGAACAGCAGATTAAGCCTCAAGTTCCAACAGGAGCAAGTAACACAAGACTTCAACTGCTATTTGAACTTTGCTGCTTCTTGTACGTATTTTGGTCGTGAGGTTATGCCGTTCTTGGTCAGTGCCTTCGTTTGCAACCAGAGATGTGCTCATTTTCGTGAGACGTGAGTTCTTGCGTGTCACGGAATCAGATTTATGTTCCGTTCCACCAAGTCTTCACATCACGTCAATTCTGACCAGTCGACATCGGTTCAGTCGCGTTGCACCCAGGTTTCCCATTTGCAGGGGTGGCCACCGTAGGACTGGGACCTTTGAGCCGTGCTGGCGCAGCCTGGACCTTCTTGGCAGCCGTGGCAGCCTATGTCTTGAAGGATGCTACACAACGTGGCCGGATCCACAGTGGAAAGACCTTTCGCTACCTGAGGCGGACAACCAGACGAAGATATGAGGACTGGACATGAGGACATGCGTCCCCTGAGCTATCAATTTTCAGAGTCTAAATTGCTTTCAGCATGGTTTAGCTTTCAATTTAGAGTCAAGAAAGTCTTGGCCGCCTTGGCCTTGGCTCATTGTGTGGATCTGTTTTTGGACTCAGGTGGGGCTTTGTGGCTTCTTCTGGAAGCCACTTGCTGCTTGTAGCCTTGACGTTTGCGGGCATGGACGGTGGACGCGCAGCCTTGCACAAATTCTACGCAGGGACAATGTCCTGTCCCAAATTAGCTTGGCTATCTTTGGTGATGCACCTGAGCTGCAGAAATTTGGACTTGCGAGAGATTTTAGGCTGTGCATGTTTGATTGGTAGCGTCCTTTCGCTCCTAGTAGCGATGCCGTTTGCTCCTAGTAGCATTCTTGTTCCTAGTAGTAAGGCCAGGAGCCCCTAGTAGCGTCCTTGCTTGACGTGGTTTGGGAGGCATGCCTTGGTGGTCTTCGCTGCGTTGACGCCACCACCGAAGGTCGCCAAAGCTGCGAACACACCGCCTGCGGCACCGACCTTTGAAGAGCCGCTCCCTCCGCCTCCGCCAGACCCCGTCGTGTCGCCGTCGCCAGTGGCGCCAGTGGCGGCACCTGTCGTGTCACCTCCACCGGTCGCCACCGGAGGAAGTTTTGAGGTGAACCAGCGGGTGCTGTTCCGTGGGCAAGGAGGCACCGTGCGGTACATTGGAGAGACGAACATTGGGGTTGGGGAACCTTGCCGTTGATATGTGTTGAAGACTTCTAGTGACACATCATGACACATCCAAACCGATGGTAGTTTTCACTGTTTTGGCATATTTGTTTTGAATCTTTCTCTTTCAGCCAGAACTTGGAAAGATACGCTCTTCAGGAATGGATCGGAGTGGAGATGGATGATGAGATTGGAACACATGATGGCAGCCTCTTCGGTGTTCGCTACTTCACTTGTGCGGACCGGAAGGGGGTCTTTGCACAACCTTCGCAGTTGCAAGGTGCATAACTCGACCTCATCGAGGGAATCCCAAAAGATGAGGTGCAGGTGTATGATTTTCTAATAATTCGATCAACGACCATGCCAGCAAGGATCAAAAGGAATGCCTCCGACGTCTGACTTCACTTCGTCAAAGTTTCGACTTCACTTCGTCCTTCTTTTGGCTCGTTGTGGCATTGCACGAAATTCTTGCCCAGTTCGTCTGGATACTGCAGCCCACCTGCTCAGGCCGTGCAGGATCCTTCATGGAACTCCTTTCTTTCATTTATTTTCGAACATGGTAGCGTTCATTTGCTTTTTGCTTTGTATCGAGTTGCAGGTGTGTGCTCCTCCAGTGATTGTCCCACAACGGGCTGCCAGACTTGATTTCAGAGCAACAACTTGTGGCAGCTTGTGGAGAAGTGATGTCACAAGCCGTGCCGTTTACCCAGGTAAGGTGCATTTCCCCCAGGTGAGGCTGCAGTGCTCTCTAGTTTCAAGCCTTGAGATGATCTCCTGACCGAATGACAAGACACATCCATCATCCCGCATGTTTAGAAAGCATTTTGTCTCATTTTGTGGCGAAAGTCTTTACTTTTCAATCCAATTGTGGATCTCATTTGTCACAAGACCGTTGAAAGAACGGCGATGGGTTGAGCTTCCTTTTTTGTCTCGTGGCTTGACGGGAAGCGTCGGAAGTGTACAAACTTGAAACAGATAACGTCGAGGGGGATCCACGTTTCGGGAGGCATGGCGAGGCGCAGGCGTGTCTTACTGATTGATGGTCTTACAGTCTTACAATGTCTTAATGGATGTTTACCATGATTCACTTGCTCAGATGATGATGATTGTTTGAATCTGACTGGTTGGATTGTTCTGATGTGCAATTGTCTTCCAGCAAGCCCATGACCCTTGAGGGACAAAAGACCTTTAATGGTTCGGTTCCGTGCACAGACACAAAAGGCTTTGAACACCAATGCCAGCGTCAGCCCCGCCGCCCAGAGGCACCGAATAGCGTCCGGACGCTACTAGTAGCTTCTTGTTACTAGTAGCTTCAAATTCCTAGTAGCGTCCTTGCTCCTAGTAGCGATGCCAGGAGCCCTTAGTAGCGTCCTTGCTCCTAGTAGCGATGCCCTTTGTTAGAAGATTCTGAAATGTCCAGCCAGGTACACTGCGATCGCAGAATCCCAGGTCTCGACGCCAAGTTTGCAGGGTAAGACTTAAAGGGAGGCTCCGAAGAGACTGAAAGCATGCTCGAAAGGCTCTTGAAAGGCTTGAAACGCTTGAAACCAAGTTGGAACAATGCACATTTATCGCGCACAAATCCTCAGAGCGAAGTTTGTGGACAGAATCAACCTGTGAAGGCTCTGAGAAAGCCCCATCAGTCCATTGTCCGGAGCTTGGAATTGCAAAGTTCAAAGTTTCCCCTAAAGCCCCTAATTACATGTTTTTTTGTTACTCTTTTGCAGCGAGGAGGCTTTGCATTTCCCAAAAAGACAGGGCTATCTCTTTGTTGAATCTTCAATTGTCGAACATTGTTCGTGTTTTTCTTGATTCCTGAATTTCAGATTGCGCTCTTCCCATGCTGACGTTTGTGAAGGTGTGCATCATCGGTGCTGAAACGACAGGCGGGCTTCCGGGCTTATGAATCAAGACCTTACATCGCCCCACTTGCCTCCACGATTATCCACTTTGTTTGGTGCGAACACACAATAGAGACAACACTGTGACATGAGATGCGACCACTAGACAATTATGAGAACAAGATCAAAAAAGCATCAATTACAAGACTAGGAACAAGACTATAATCTACCAGGACGCTACTAGGGGCTCCTGGCCTTACTACTAGGAACAAGAAGCTACTAGGGGCTCCTGGCATCGCTACTAGGAACAAGACTACTATAAATAAATTCGAGAATAGCAAGATGACAATACTTGAGGCCCTGCGAGCCTAGGTGCCGATGTAGATTGATCTCCCACCCCCTGCAGGCACCAAGGAGTTGAGCACATTTCTGGCGCAGGAGTTTCGGCCCTCGACTTGTCATGTCGATGCCCTTTGTTACTAGTAGCGATGCCTCTGCTACTAGTAGCTTCTTGTTCCTAGTAGCAAGGCCAGGAGCTACTAGTAGACTCTTGTTCCTAGTAGAAATGCCCTTTGCTCCCAGCCTTTGTATTCGTGTGTGTAGATTTTCTCTTTCTGGAGATCTGATCCGAAAGCACAGTGCTGGACATGTAACAGGAGTTTCGACGATTGCCGGAGAGCGTGACCTTTGCTGTCTTCGGGGGTGTTTTGCAGGCTGCTTGGCTTTGCTTTGCTTCCGTTTCAAAAGGGCCCCAAGCAAAGCAAATCGAGCTCAAATATGCATTCCACATTGCAGATTTGATGACATTATCCATACTTTGGCCAGATCAGTTCAAGGCTTCAATATGACATGTTAGTTCAATTCCTATCACAGGGTGTGCAGATTGTTCGGAGGCTTTTTCAGATGGCTTCAAAGATCCGAGCCGCTTGTGGAACCAAAGCGCGGACGCTAAGTTTCATGTTCGGCACTGTTCCACATGCAAATGCATACACCAATAAACATGGGAGGGTGGACAAGTTTTCTCTGCAAGGCTTGCAGCAGCATCGATTGCAGGCACGATGGGCGTGCTAGCTGGAAAACGTGCTAGACGGACAAGAGGTTACTCCACAGTGGTGTGAAGCGGGAGTGAAACCATCGAAGAATGGTAACGCGATGTGAACATGGGCTTTTGGATGTATTCGTGTAAGTTGGTCATAGGGCCCCAGCAGCCAGCTGACTGAGTCTGCCATTTCAAATTGGTGTTTATCATTGGGCACAAGAAGGGTTCGAATTCAATTTCATCTACATTATCCTTGTTGCAAGATCGCTTATCTCGAAGTTCCTCTGTTTGCTTTGAGATCAATTCTTGTTCTGTCTAAGAAAGTTCTTGTAAGCTGATGATGTTCGCATGGTGTCTTGCGTGGCTCCCTCGTAGATGTTCATCGGTCGCCCAAGCTGTCCGAAGTTGACCTCGTCGGTCCACGACTCCAACATGCTGTCGCAAGATGTCGCAAGCCTTCCATGGCTCGTTTGTTACCGGTTTCTTCAAGAAGGCCAAAGAATCCGGCTCGTGAGCATCAGGTGCAGTCATTTCAGTGCGGTGCAGCGATTTGTTGAAACAAACTTTAAGGTGAAGAGAAGAAAAAGACCAAGAAGAAAACATCGCGCCACAAACTGCGTTTCTTTGCAGGCGGCAACTGACCTGTAAGTTCCCAAAAGGGACGTGAATTGGAGAGTGAGACTGCTGCACAATGACGAGTGCTTTCGACTAAGCAAACAGCGGTCCACCATGGACATGAGAGACTGCAGATGGGCGGCGATAATATCACGAGGAGGTCGGCAGGAAGAAGACCAGCCGGGTTTGCGGGGCATGTCTGATAGTGCAAGTTAAGCTGTTGCAGGGCCGTTGGATCATCCCTTGGAGAATCTTGTGCAGACAAGTTCCCATGGGGATAAGCCGTCGACATGGATTTTCACCGCCCGATTGCTGCCAACTTGTTGCTGACCTTGCAAAGCCCTGCTTTCGTCAACAGCATCCATCAAGCAGTTCAACATTTTGTTGGTGAAGCTTCGTCACGGCCTGTTGACATTTTGCGCAGCGATAGGCGCGCTGGATTGCAATTTATCGCCCTTTTCAACTTTTTATCATGGCCGAGCATAGGCGTGCTGAAGAGGCTGGAGACTTTAGCATTGCCTTTTCTGATCTAGATCTACGTCTTCACATCGGCACCGCAACACCCTTCGACAGAACTGCAGGTGTCGGGTCTTGTCCCTTTCGTGCGGATCGCCTGGGTTTTGCGAAGACCTGGAGCTGGACTCGCTTGCGCCACTCTCGAGCTCTTTTCATGTTTGAAGGTCGTGCCATCAATTTGATGCCACCAGGGCTCGTCCATGAGGACATTGCAGCATGCTGTCTGGAGCCTACATGTCTTACTGCTTTCCAGAAAGCAGACCGCTCGAAGCATTTGACGTGCCGCAAAGATGGGACCGCTTGGCTTGTTAGTCTCGCGTAAAAATGCGTAGACTGGATGTCAGGCTCACAGCACCGTGTCTGGGTTTGAACAGCATAAAGGTTCAGATCTGGACGCGCGGAGTATCATCAAATGTCATAATGCTGGCGCTGCCCAGGCTCACATAAAAGTTGATTCTAGGTTGACTAGACAGACAAACTATAAACAAGACTGCACAAAACAAACACAACAAAGCAGAAGACGTTCTCCAAAGCCTTTCTCCGAAATTTTGTTGGAAGTGCCAGGATCAAGACAACTTGGAGACCATGTGCCGAATCGGTCCAGCACTCCAGCCTCGGGGGTTGAGCGGTTAAGCAAGATGTCAACTGGGAGCAGCTGGCAAGCCATCAGCAAGTGCAGATTGTGGTATTATTTGTGATTTATTCATAGTGTTCCCGGTTCCCTGGAACTGGAACTCCCCCCCCCACCGAAAAAAAGTTATGTAAATCGCCACTACGTTTGGAACTAGAAATGGATCTGGAACTGAAACTTCCCCCCTCACCAAAAAGTAACTTTATCATAGGAATTTGAAATCGTCACTACGTTTGGAACTGGCCCCACTCAAAAAAACGTTTGGAACTGGAAGCGGAACTGGATCAGGAACTGGAACTCCGCCCCCCACCAAAAAAGAAAATTGATTTTCTTTATCATAAGATTGTGAAATCGCCACTACGTTGGATTAGAAGTGGAACTGGAACTGGACCCATTCCCAAAAAACAAATCTTCATCACAGGAACTTGGCAATTCCCACAAAAACCATTGGAACTGGAACTGACCCCCTCCGACACCACTCTCACCATAGATCTGGATGTAAAACTGGATCTGAAACTGGAACTGACCCCTCCCCTCTCCAGGACACTGTCACAATGGATCAGGATCTGGAACTGATCCCCCTCCCAGGACCAACCATAGATCTGGAACTGGAACTGTTCCAACCACCTGGAGTATATTGTCAACTGTGTTCAACAGTGTGATTTTTCTGAGGTGATGTGTATGTTATCCTTGGCAGCCCAGAAGCATCGTGTATCGCACAAAGGGCGCACGCCCCA